GGTGGAGGATTGACTGTCAGCTTGCCCTATCCCTCTCTTTCCTCTCAGACCTGGAGTCCAGGTCTGCCAGATAGCGCCATTGTCCCTAGAAAGAGCTCATCCATTATCCTTGCCGACCTGTTTCCTCCCCACACACCTCCCTGCCCCTTTGGAAGATCTACGATAAAACCCTAAACCCTAAACCCCTCGCCTGTGCGCCCAACCTCCAATAGTCGATCTTGGACATTGGCAGGCATTGATTTGCTTCAGGCCCCCTGCGATAAAGACTTCCTTTGTAACCCGCGTTCATGCTCCCGCATTTTCACCTACTCTAACTTGTCCTTCTCTCTCCCATGTTTCCTCTTTGTCCGTACCCCCTGGGCCCCTGAGGGGCCGCTTACATTCGATTGAGGCCTAGGATGCGAATATGCCCTCAGACGTTGCCTGCTGGTGAAAGCCTCTTTCTGGTACTGAATTGTGCCACTCCTTCCAGCATACCCGGTCTCGCAATTCTGCAATCTTGCCATTTATCAGCCAATTCCTGTAGAATCTCTGCCTCTCCTTCTTACGCTGCTCTTCGTCTTCTGTCCAAGCTTGTTTGGTCTTCCGCCATCTGCAGAGGATCTCAGCTTGTATCAATGTTCTGGTTTCTATCCACACCTCCTCCCGGGGGTTAGACCGGCCCTCAATTGTCCTGCTGCATCTCTCTTTCCATATGACCCATAGGGTCACTTTCCTGATGAGTTCAAACCAGATCCTTTCTACCTTTTGCGCCTGATCAGGGATGTTAGTCAAGAGGAGAAGTTGAATGGGTTGCTCGGGGAAGGGAGATGTGAAGAGGGAGTCCCAGAGTGATGAAGCTCTCGCCCATTATTCAGTAGCCTCTTTGCAAAGCACGAGGCAGTGAACTATATCTGCTACAGCGCCTTCGGTGCAGACTGTACATAACTCCGAGCTGTTGGGGTCTGCGGCTTTCCGCCCAGTGTGTAGCCATTGGTTCACCGGTAGGGCTGCGTACCCAATCAGCCACTGCAAACTTCTAATCTTGATTGGTCTGATGCGTTTGAATTTTTCCCAGTGGATTCGTGTGATTTTGTCTGCTTCCTGCCCGACGAGGTTCCGCCATCTGTTTTTGATAATAGGTTCCGGATTTTTGGTCTTTAGAGACAGTCTGTACCCAAGTTTGACTGTGTAATCCTGGATTGGAATTTTGGTCTTAATGTTGCTGGCCCTATTTGGCGTCCACGCCCATTCCGCTGGATCGAACTCCAAGTTACGGATTGTAGTGTCAGGTCTGAAGACTGACTTTGGCCATGCCCCTAGGACCCTTACTTTCCGGAGCAGGAAGGATTCTAAGACTGACGACTCTACATCGCAATTCAAGATAGTTGGCGTACCAGTATTGGTGAGGGAAAGAGAGGAAAGAGAGGAAAGTGGCCCTAGTGTGTGAGCCTTGCTGCAAATGGGAGAATTGAAAAGCTCTAGAGGGGGTTACGTCTTGAATCATAAGTCCCCACTCACCCGGTCTCCACGATTCGTCTTTTACCAGGATATCTTTCCATTCCCGCGGGATACAGCTAAGTATATACTGGAGATTGGTCCCTCGTCTGTGGCATCCTTCCAGTCGGGAGCTGACTTTTCCAGATACCATTCTTGATCCAGGACAACCACCTCTGTTCTAGGAAGAATGGGTTGTCCGCCTCGTTTGTTATCCATTCATTCCGGAAGAGCGGTTGCCTTAGTACTCCATCCTTGGATTTGGGTCTGTTTATCTTATTGGGAAATATTTTTCTCCAGGATCGGAGTAGTGTCGGCCAGTAAGGCGTGGGCGGTCGACAGTCATCGAGTCTGTTATTCCTCGTTCGATTCCTACGTCCTGTGGTTATCACCCATTCTTTATTCATTACCCAAAACAGACCTGACATATTGTTCGGGGAGGGAACTGGAGCCACGAATCTGATACTATCCAGCGCCAGATTATTCCAGGCGCTGTCCGGCTTCATCAGCAGTTTGATGATCCATTTGACTTGCAGGGCTTTCGTTTCTGTTCCGGGGTCAATAATTCCTAGGCCTCCGTTTCGTGGCCTTCTTGTAACATAGTGCCAGGCGATCTTAGATATGCCCTTGTCCTTGTTGGGGTCTCCTGTCCATAGATAAAGCCTACTATTTCGGTTCAGCTCCTTAATCGAGCTGTCTGGGACTGTCCAAATGGAGGTTATGTACCACGTCATTGAAAAGATCGATGTATTGAGGACTAGCGCTCGACCAATAAGGGACGTGAAGGCATTGCCCCACCTTCCGATTTTATTGATCTGTTTGGCCAGCATGGATGGGCCCATTTGGGGAGCCAGTCCTTCCTTCGTCATTAGTATGCCCAAATAGCGGGTGGGTGTGTCCGGCTTTTGCCATGTCATAGCCGCCTCGTCGCCTTGGAGTGAAAGGGGCTCTTCCTCGGATAGCCACCAGCCAATTGTTTTTCCCCAGTTGATCTTCATTTATGAGGCTAGTCTGAACGCTTCCATTGCTTTAGCTAGTGTCCTGAATGAGGAATCAGACGCTCTGATTAGGACCGTTAGATCGTCCGCGAACATGATANCCCGGTTGATCTTCATTTTTTAGGCTAGTCTGAACGCTTCCATTGCTTTAGCTAGTGTCCTGAATGAGGAATCAGACGCTCTGATTAGGACCGTTAGATCGTCCGCGAACATGATAGCTGCGGGAAAATCCATCTGGTGGGCTGATCCTACGTCGGTGCTGGCTAGTCTTTGAATTGATGGATCCTTACGGAGGAAGGATGCGATTGCCTCCATTACGAATAGAAAGATTGATGGGGCCAACAGGTCCCCTTGACGGACCGAGCGGGAGATTGGGTAGCAATCTGACAGTAGTCCATTGACTTGGACACAGCCTACTGCATCGTTGTACAAAATCCAGACCCACTTTCTGAAGTTAGGTCCAACTCCCATTCTTTCCATACTTGCTTCCATGAAGTCCCAGTTTACTTGATCGTATGCCTTTTCAAAATCAAAGAAGAGAATGGCGGTGTTTATTTTTCTTTTCCTGATTTTTCTTACCGACTCGTTCAGTGTCATAACATTGTCTAGAATGTAGCGACCCGGGATGAAACCTGTTTGGTCAATGTGGAAGCATTTGTTGGTAATCTTGATAATCCGCTTTAATGTTGGGGGGTATCAGAATCTCGGTCTTGGAGTGGTAGAGGTCCTTGTAAAAATTGTTAGCTATCTCTAGCATACCTTCGCTATCTGATCTTACAATTTTCGGATTTGTGTGGGACCTCAGACCTTCTATCGTGCTAGCTCTCGAGTTTGCCTTGATTCGGGCAAAGAATTGTTTTATCATAGAATCGCTGAGTTTGTATTCGCACATTCTCGCTCTTATTTGAAGGCCTCTCAGGTCCCACCATTTCCACACGGCCAATTCCTCTCGTGCGTTGATGAACAGGTCATTATACAGAGGTGAGGCAGGGTTGTTTACCAGGTTGGCTTCTGCCAATTTCAACACAAATTCTAGTGATTGCTTCCTCTGTTTCCTTATAGAAGCTAGCTTCCTAGAGACTTTGGCCACGGTGCTTGAGAGGTTGGAATAGCTCTTTTGAAACCATTCCCATCGATGATCAGTGCTTAGGCGCGCAGACCTCTGTCCCTCCCAACTGTTACACACCTCATTTTGGAAGGTCCGGCTCAGCAGGAGAGAATTATTGAGCTTGTGGAAGCTGGCTCCCTTTTTAACCACTTGATCAAAGCAAATAACCAGTTTGATTGGTTTGTGATCCAGTCTCGAATATGGAGCCAAAGGTAGCACTTCAGCATTCTTGACTGCCCCCATCATGGTTTCTGATACTAGAAAGTAGTCTATTCGTGAGAAGGCCGTATGGTTAGCGTGTTTTTTCTTGACTAAGGTGAAGGTTCTCTTGTCTGGGTGAAAGATTCTATGAGGGTCCACCAGGTTGTGATCCAGCATCAATTCCTGGATTGGTATTGCTTCAGAAGAGTTTGGGGTGCTGGAAGACCGAGATACACGGTCTACTGAAGGGTCTATCGTAGCATTCCAGTCTCCTGCCAGGATACAAGGGGTCTGTGGCGGGATCAGGTCTTCAATAATTCTTAAAAAGGTCTTCCTCTCTGTTGGCGAATTCGGTGCATAAATGTTGAAGAGTAAGAATTCCTCTTCCTTTCATTTCAGGTGTAACACACACCACCTCCCTTCCGTTTGATCGGCTCTCTTATCTAGAATTGAGCCTGCTTTATATAGACGGGAGGATTTGGGAATCAGGATGGCTGTTCCCTTAGAGCTTGTTTCAGGGTCAGCAGACCAAATTTCATCCTTTAGGCCGCCTAACTTCCTTGCCATGAAAGTGCGAATTCTGTTGTGTTCTGTAGAAAAGGTGAGGTGGGTTTCTTGAAGCAGCACTATGTCCACTATTTTCCTATTTCCCAGCGATAACCCGGTCACCAAGTTGTTCCATTTTTCTTCTCTTTCCATTATGTTCCCTAGACCATTGACATTCCAGCTTCTAAGGACCAAACCTTGATTTCTCCAGTGGATGCGGTCCCCAACCTCCTCCTAATTATGAAAATCCAGCAGATGCCCCTAATCAGTCTCAAGGGATGGACTATCGTTGACATATGGAGAAGGACATAACTCAGATTATCTGGAAGGCAAGATGAAGTGGCACCATAAGAAAGCACCACTGGTTAACTGGGACCGCCCATTTTCAGCCCCTGACTAACGGGCCGGAAACTGAAAGAAAGAGGTACATTACGCAAGTGGGGTCATGGTCTGAAGCCAAAGTTATGATGGAGGCAGATATCAGAAAGCAATGGCCATAAAAGAGATGACTAATTTTCGTCACAAAAAAGAAGGCTTTGTGCCATTGCAGAAGAATGGCTTGGATTCCCGTTCTCCACTCCGCCTCTCTCTCTTCCCCTTTTCTCTCCCACTCTCTCTTTCGTCATTCTAGTTAGTACAACCGTGGACTTCTTGAAGTTCGGCAATAGTTCGGATTTCGCTTGGAGGCTCGTTCTTGGGCTCTCCCTCTACTGAGGCGGCCACCTGTTTCGAGGTGCATTTGGCTCAAATCGTGTCCAGTTTCATCTTACCTTGAGGTCCCGTTAGTGTTTGGTAGTGATACTGCCATTAAAGAAGGAGATATTGTCAAACGTACTGGATCTATTGTAGATGTTCCTGTAGGAAGATCTATGCTGCGTCGTGTTGTTGATGCGTCAGGAGTACCTATTGATGGAAAAGGTGCTTTAGGCGCTGTAGAGCGAAGACGTGTAGAAGTCGAAGCTCTGGGAATGATTTCACATAAATCTGTGCATGAACCAATGCAAACAGGATTAAAAGCGGTGGATAGCCTTGCTCCAATTTCTCCCTTCCTTTGCCTAGAATCTACCTTGGATTTTATTCTGAGGTGGATTCTTGCCTTTGCCTTGCCCAAAACTTGGACTGTCCCATGCACGTATGATTAAAAGGTGCGGTGCCAGCATTGCATCATACAATTGAGAAACAATGTCCAGATAGTCTAATTGTATGCACAGCGTTATATTTTTTTTAACAGAATGCATTTGTTGGCCACCTGGCCTCCTGAGAGAGTCTCAGGTTGCCACAATGCAATCTTTGTTCTGTCTTGCCGTCTTTGTACTTACCAGCAATCGGGTCTCTTTTCGGATTTGCTTTGTTCATGGCACAGGTGTACTGGCGAAGCAACTGGTATCCAAGGCTCGCCAAAGAGTATGACCATGAAGGAAACCAACGGGTAATGTGATGAACCCACGCTTGAGAAACTCACAGCTTGCCAATTTCCTTTTTTCTCCTTTTTTCCCCCTTCTGTTCATGTGGTTACATTTAGATTCGAACTTGGGTCTATATTTCAAACAAATCGTAGGTGTACCTACTCAAGTTGCACAATGGTTGTCACAGACAGAAGTAGACAGGAAATTTTGTCAAAGGTAGTGAAGAATAGGACAGGAGATTGCTGTAGGTAGATGTAGGTGTGGACCTCTTTCATCTTTGATTTCTTCTAACCTTTCTATGGATTTGTCTTTTCTGCGAAAAAATGCTACTGCTTCCGTGACAACGAGGAAAACTGGGGACGCTAGCGGATCTCCTTGCCTTACTGATCTTGTCATCTTATCGGGTTTGGAAAGAGAGTTGTTGACCTGTACTCTGCCTTGGGCATCCTTGTACAAGACTCTGGGCCTCGCCACACAGGCTGTCGAAATGTGCAAAACGAGAATGAACTTCCCGCTAGAACATGGCCAGATGCACCTGGCACATTTTTGTCGTTTTCACATTTCGAAAGCCTGTGTGGCGAGGCCCTCTTTACCATTTGTGAAAGTTTGGTCCTCCCAAACCCATTTGCTCCATGCATTGTTGTGGGAAGTCCGAATTAACGTGGTCGTAGGCCTTCTCAAAGTCGAAGAACATAATTGCGCCTGTGACTTTCTTCTTGTTGCTTATAATTCTTGTTGATTCGCAATAGGGGGTCGAGATGTGTCCAGGATGAATCTGCCCATGATAAAACCTGTTTGATCTGAATGCGAGCATCTGCAATAACCCGCTCAAAATATGCTAATGTCATCGGCCAAAAGGGCCGCCCACAGGGCACAGCACGGTACGTCTGGCCCAGGGAGTAATATAATTGTCCGTTTGATTTGCGGGGCCGGAATGTGCCTAACCCGTCTCATTCCTTTGAGTAACTAATACCACCCTATGGATGAAGAATTCCCTCTCAGGATCACCTGTCCAGAGGAAAGTCACTTACGTTCTTCTGAGTGGCTGAAAAAACTCGGTTGAGGTGGCCATACGATGAAGTTATGTTTGTTTGTTTGTTTGTTTGTTGTTTTTTTTTTTTTTTTTTTTTTTTTTTTTTTTTTTTTAACACACACACACCCCTGCAGTGCTAGTGGTGCAAGGCTTGGCCAAAAATAGAAGTGTGACCTCACAGCCAGCAATGCATCTTGTTCGTCATTGAGGGGAGAATTCTAGCTACCAACTCTGAACGTAACCCTACCTAGTGCTTACTCTTTGACCCTAAGAAACCCAAGGGGGCATGGATAATCCACCAATTGCATTCCTTGTGGTGACTTTTCGTTATTTATTTATTTATTTATTTATTTCTATTTTAAGCCCTTGTGTCAGCCCTCTATCCCACCTAAGAAAGCTAAGGGGGCATGGATAATCCACCCATTGCATTCCTTGTGGTGACTTTTCGTAGGGGTGGAGGGTCACCCGCGATCCACCGCTCTATGATTTACAGCAATTAACCTTCATTTCTGATGCTGTCTGGAGGGCCTGCATCACTCTAGTTATCAACTTGAACGGGTAGTCTGAAGCTTTGATTAGCACCGTTAGGTCATATGCGAACAATAGGATTGCTGGCATGGCAAGCCTGCTTCCCTTCTTCTCTCATATGTAGACAATCCTGTTTACGGAGGCATGGTTCTACAGCGCTGCTGTTTCGTCTGAGCTCAAGGCTTGATTACTTGCACCAACTGAAACCTAAAGTGAAACTGCAGATGAATCAAGGTGTGAAAATTTTTGGCTTCAGCTCCGCATGTCAGGAAAAGAACCGTGGTGAAGCTCGTTTTCATTACAGTCATTAAAGATCCTGCCTTCATATTTTGCTCACAAATATGGGGAAATGGTGGTGGAGCCCCCTAAATGGGTGCTTTTTTGGCTTGTAATGGTTTCCGTGGTGCAGATAACACATGACGATTTCCGGAAGACTTTGCAGTTTTTTGGAGTTGAACTGAAGGACGATGAATTCCAGCAGCTAGTCAACATTGTCGACAAAGCCGGCACTGGTAGTGTGGAGTATGGTCTTCATGCATGACTCCTTCCCTGAAGCTCTTCTTGAATGACTGTTCCAAGCCAGGGTTGCTGAATTATTTACAACTTTTATTACAAGTGATGTTACTCAAACCGGCCAATCACTTGGGTGTTGTGCTATTTCTTATGTGTCAATGAACTACTTGAAAGTTGCTGAAAGCCTGAAACTGATTTCATATCACCGGTTCTGCAGATGACTTCTTCGCATGGTTACGATCCGGACGTCCGGACCGCAGTCCAGACAGTCTGGGTCTGGTATCCGGTCCAGAGTGTCCGGACCCGTCCGCCCACCACCCCCCAAAAAAATCCGACTAAAAACGAAATCCAAAACAATCTGGAAAAAAAGATATGTTATGCAGCATTGCAATGGAAAAATCCTTTAGCTGAGGACCATCTGAAAATTCGCAGCCAAATCCAAGGAGAAAAATAAAACTACTTTTTTATTTTTTATTTTTTTAAGGGGGGGTTTCAATCCGGACGGTCTGGAGCAGTCCAGACACAGGTCTGGGCGGACGTCTGGATTGGTCTGGTTTCCGGGTCGGGCGTAACCATGCTTCTTGAACTTCTGGAGATTTTTGACTGATTAACGAACCGAAGGTACATCAGTTTTGGCTCAGCTCTCAAGGCGGATTACCAGCCAGCGCAGGAGCCTGTGCTGGCTAAATTTGAAAATTCGAGAGAATCGAAAAACATAGAAATGAGTTTGTGATGGGTTATTAAAATGCTACTGAAACAATACCTCCCTTGGGTCAGGATGGCCCTGGACAGCACCAGGATGATGGCGCCGGTCAAAACCCCCAGTAACATGGCTGTTCTTTTTCTGGATCATGGCCAAATAATGGACAATAAAAAAAGGCAGATCCGATAGAGATACCCAGCGACTGCAGGACCGAACCAGTACCAAACCAAACCCGTACTCAGCCTGAATCCTGAAGGGCTGGTAGCCTGGCACAGATTAATGCCCAGCAAACATGGTCCAGCGATAGGAAAGAAGTGCTCGGACAGCCTCTCTTCTGCGATCCTTGGCGGGAAAATGAGTAATGGCCTCCCCTGGTCCCTATCCACAAAGAATAAGAGATGGCTCTCCTGAGTGGAAGAAGGAGTCTTGGCAGTCAAGCACATATGGTCGGAGGAACACAAGATATGGAGGACAGAACAAGACATGCGCAACCTCCTGAAGGGCGGGCTGTCACGTCCTAGCGGATAACGTAGCCCTCATTCTGCACAACATTCCTCTAACCTGGTCAGGTCTGGTAAGAGTAGAGTTCTCGTGGAAGTCAGGGGAGTGGGGGTTACTGATCACACAACCAGCACAAGATAGGGGGCCTACCGATTTGTGAATCGAGTGGACATTACGCGCCCTATATCCTAAACCACAATCTAAGGGGATTGGAGATTCGAAACGAGAGCCCCAGAGAAGAAATCCTCAAGACTTTCCTACTTTGAAAAGTTAGGGTGTCCCAGTTCAAGCCATGGTTAATCTTGAACTGGAAGTCAGCATTTCGGACCTAGAATTCGACCCCAAAGAATGGCACTGGATTCACAGAAAACATAAGAAGACCAGTCCAATCTTCCAAATTGGGCTACGAACTGGGCCTAAAGACAACAGACCCCAAACCGGAAATAACCAAGGGGTGGAGGAATATTCTCAATCTAGATTCTCGACTCCAATACAGACTTCGAGATCCCGTGGAAAATATATTCATCGATCAATCCACAAAAGTTCGGAGCATGCAAGCATGATTTGTTGGCCATTGTTTTTCGTTTTTCTGATTTTTTGTTGTGGCCTGTTTTTGTTTTAGTTCAAGCCTTCAAGGTTGCTGTGTGCCAACTTTGGTGTCTTTTGGACCATTGAAAATCCATTTGCTGACATTTCTGAAAATTCTTAAAATTCTGAAAACTCTCTGAAGGTGAAATTTGCATGAAATTACACTTTGCCTTACAGTTTATAGCATACTTGCAAGCAGACGGACCGGACGAGCGTCCGGTCCGGTCCGCTTTGCCGCGTGCGGCACCCTCCCCCCGGACCGGACGGACTCGGACCGGACCGGACG